ATAGAGCCAAATTGGTTTACAAGGTGATGCATCAGAAGCCGTTTGATTTTGGGAGGATGGTCTTTAAGCTGATCATCAACATGGGTCTGACCCCTGTCTCAAAGTTGTGCCTGCCGTTTCCCAGTTTGATCTATCAGCTGATCCAGTCACAGCACCCTGTGCATCCTGATGTATCTCAGCCAGTGCCAAAGTCTACCAAGAAGGGCAAAGCGAAGAAAGGACAGACTGCTGAGGTTCCAGTGTGCTCTTCAGATGATCGCAAGGCCTTGCGTCGTGCAATTCAGATCATGCAGCGTATCATCGATGCAGGTAAGTGTTTCTTCTTTCAATCTGTCAGTCATGTGATCCATAAGTTACTTGTTTTTGACTTAGTTGTGCAAACAAGCAGGGGGAGATGATTCTGATTCTGATGATCATAGGACTGGTTGATTTGTGGGGGAGCATTTGTCCTGGGGGAGCAGTTGATGTTGTTGTTGCTGTTTGTTTTTTGGTTGTTAGCAACAATGTATTTTGATTACAGAACCTTGTTTCATTAGCTCTTAGCTTTTGGGTCTGTAATATGTTTGAACATGGCATTTTAGGATTTCTTATTTTGGGATTTATGCTAGTTATATTGCTAGATGTTTTCCTTGTTGCTGTGTTTTGGTTTTGTCTCTATGTGCCTTTCAGGTTTATCACAAGGATGCTTGATTATCAAACTAAGTCAAAAAGGGGGAGATTGAAGATGCAGTTCCAGAACAGCTTGCTGTGAAGATCAGGAAGCTGCATCTGTTCAGACGCCTGAGACCACATCAGACGCCTGGGATCACATCAGACACTTGAAGTTGCTGACATGGAGTCGTGAGATGACGTGGCAAAGCTTAAGTGGATGGAGTGACGTGCTAAGGAAGATTTCTTGCTTGGCAGCAAAGATAGAGACGATTTGCGTGTGAAGATATGGTGAATATTCTTTACATCAAATAAGGAAAGGATGAGCTTGACAAGCAAGTATATTCCGTTTCCGTGAGATCCTCGAAGATCCTAGGGTTAGGGTTTCGAGTAGTTAGTATAAATAGTCTAGGTGGGGCCACGAGCCACTTTGAACACTTTAGACTCTTTGTACGTGATTGTAAAACTTCGAAGCTAGAAAAACAAAAAGCTGAGAAGGTGAGTGTTTGTTTTCTCTTGGGACTACACGGGTGTAGGAGAGATAGGTTTAGTGCTCGTTCTTTAGTCGGGTTCAATTCTATTGGGAGGAATAGATTGAGTAAGAGCCGAGACAAAATTGTATCCTAAGAAAAGATAAATTTTGTTAATAAAGATCGAAGGAAAAAGCGTTTGCTTGGCGCGTTCCAAGCGTAACTGGCTGTGTGTCTCTCTATACGTTTTCAATCTTCATTCTCCTTTTCCACGGCTCTTTACTTATATCTAATTCGTAATGTTTTTTAACATCATCATAAACCATGACCGGATTGTCACACTCGAGACAACAACCAACCAATTTCATAAAGTTTTTTGTGACCATTCACCATCGATGATACTGCTATGTCCCGGCAAATTCTTCCTTCTTGATCTGTATCGAATTTCCTGACGATTAATTTGCGGTGGTCCTTGTTCTTGCCTGGAAACCATTCGTCGGTGGCATTGAGGATTTGATCAGCAAAGAAGAATTTGATGGGATTGGATTTGCCATCGCAACATTCTATCAGCTCTTCTAACAACTTCGCCCCTCTCTCGTTTGCTAACTTCGCCCCTCTCTTATTCCTTTTCCTCCTCCACCACCATTTCATCTCTATACTAAGATATACTCAGTTCTTGAGGACTTCAACTACATCATGTATTCGATGTATCATGTATGTATTGTGTATCAATAAAAAACTGAAAAGGGCATTTTCATACATGTATAATGTACAAAGTGGGTATATGATCAGTAGCCGTGCTACAACATGAGTTATTGTTTACTTTATACAAAATTTAATATATTATATATTTTAAAAAAGAATTGATATGTCATATTAGTTCATATATCATGATTTTATTTATACTTATAGTTATTCTCGTCATTTGTTAAAAATGATCATATCTCATTCTATCATACAACACATTATAAATAACAGCACATTGTTGGTTCTTATGGTTGAAACTAGTCTCAAAATTCCAAGAGCTCCATCTGCTTTTAAGATAAAGTTAATTTTATGTCAGTTCACATCTTATCAATGTCATTCTTGTAGCTTTGAAAAAGAAATGCATAAATCCAAGAAATTTTATAATAGTTAATAATTAAAAGCGAGATTTTATTTTGATATAGATATACAATAGACATTTTTATGACATTTTTACACTTGACATTTTTACACTTTATTTAAATCATACAATAGAAGCATATATCCATATCTCTTGAATTTATTCGTTGATTAATTGTTCAATTTGATAGTAAATTTCTTCAGTATTTTTGAGTATTTTTTGATAAAACAATAATATTATTAATGATAAAAATAGAAATGATATTGGGAGAATTTAAAAATTACCCCTTTTCAAATACCACTTTTTAAATTTACCCCATTTTCAAACTTTATCAAAAAATACTTAAAATGTTGAAATTTTTATTTATTTCAATATCTTACAAATTGGTTTGATAATTAAATAACGAAAAATCATTTTTTTAAAAATAATTACATACTTTTGAAAATAAAATAAATATACATGAATATATGAGAAAGAAACAAACATATAAAGTAAAAGAATGAAGATGGTTTCTTTAGCTTGATTTTTTTATGGTTCGATGGTCGGAAATCAATATTTTTGAATCCATCGATAAAGTAATTTTCTTATAGCCATAAAATATTGTTATACATATGTATTACATTTAAAATACAAAAATTTTTTTAAGAAATTAAGGAATACATATAAACAAAAAAATAAATAAAATTTAAAACAAAAGTTTAAACCAAATATATAATCAAACTCTTACGATGACATCTTAATTGAGTTTTCAACCCATGCAAGACATTAAAAAATAAAACAAAGAAAATATTGAGGGTATGTGGAGGAGGATGTAAGAATGGGTATTTATAGAATAAAATATTATGTAAGTTACAATTCTAAAATAATTAAATTAGAGGAGTTATAATTATAATTTATAGTGTGTTAATTGAAATTGAATGGAGGAAACAAATAGTCAATTCACAAGTTCTATAATTTCAGTTACAATTTAGTAGTAAAGTGTGGATTTCAAGTATGAATTAAAGTATATGATTAAATGTGTTAAATATTTAGTTTAGTTAAAAATAAATATCTTAATTAAAAATTTAATGCTTAATTGTTAATAAGGAGAGAGTGAAACCTTAAAAATTCCCAAAGAATAATTTTAATTTTTAATCTCTTTTTACATTCCTCTTAATTTAAGTTATAACTCTAGGTTTAATTATATTTTTTTTCATCCTTGTAGTATATATAATAGATAGAAAATTGAATATCAATTTGTTTTCTACATAGGAAATCAAATATAAAATTCAAAGTTAATAAAAATTATAATGTTCTTTATATTATTAAATGTTGAATCACACACTAAATATAAGGATCATTATTCTTAAAAAAAATGTCTTACTAATTGGTTTGATAATTATATAACAAAAAATTATTGAAAGAACCTATCCCGTTTTTTTTTTAAACATGCAGACCGGATTAACCCAATTAAATAACCAACTAAACCGGTCCTAATCAATTTAAATCACTAAACCAGCTAAACCGACCCTAATTAAATTAAATCAATTAAACCAACCAACATGTAACCAGCAGAAGACTTAACCAGAAATCCAATAAAAACAATTCCATTAAACCAAAAAGTTCAACAAACATTATTCCAGAAACATAATCATCCTATCATGCCTCTAAATTCCATTCTAACACCCTAAGAATTCGAACAATAATCCAAAACATCAATAAGCGCCTAGCTAGATCATTCTCCTCTCCTCGCCATGATTCAACGGATCACACTTTTCCTTTACCTACATCACAGAAAAGAGATGCATAACTATTTCATAAGTACTTAGTGAGGCAATCATCCCACTACTGGCTATACACACAAGCATTAATGAACACATTCAAGTATTAATCCAAATAACCACAAACAAGCCATGTATCAACACAAAATGACCCGTTCTGACGAGTAGTATCGACCGACACCATCCGCTGGTGTTGCTCGACACTCGCGACCATCCTCGCGAGAAAGAAAATTGGTGTCGATCGACACTCGCCATAGGTGTCGATCGACATCGAAGCCCTAACTTCGCTCCAGTCTTACATCATAGGATAAGAAGTGATGTTAGTAACATTTTTAAAATAATTAAATTAGAGAAGTCCTAATTATCATTTATAGTGTGTTTAATTAAAATTCAAAAAAGAAAACCAATAGTCTTTGAAAATTTATATTATTTTCAGTTACATTTTAGTAGTAAAGTGTGGATTTCAAGTATGAATTAAAGTATATGATTAAATGTGTTAGATATTTGGTTTAATTAAAAATAAAAATTATAATTAGAAATAAATATTATAATATTAAACTTATCAAACAATTATTTTTCTAAAAATACCATATTAATGTTTTCAGAAATAGTAAAGAAATTACTTTTCAAAAAATAACACAAACGTAAATATTAATTTCCAAAAAGAGTTATTGGATTTATGTTAACTATTTTAGATTTAAGATATAGTTTGTAGGAGAAAATTACAAAAAAACATGCGACTTATATAATATTTGTCAGAAAAATACATAACTTTTTTCGTTGCAAAAAAAATACACAGACTAATTTATAGTTGATGAAAAATACACAAACTATTTTGGATTTCTGATTTACCATCTACCGTGATTACGAATTTTAACAGAGTTAATGAACATAAATATTGTTTATCCCTTTTTTTTTTAAATCCTTAATCATAACGAAAACATAACAATGAGAAACACAAAAACTAAAGATAACGTTAAGGTATCCTAAAACAGAAAACTTGTTTTGATTTTAGCTATGAAAAAACTTCTCCACAAGATTGTAATTTTAACTGTGTTTACAATTGCGTTGATTTTGTCGAAAGTTCGAAACTCGTGAGTCGTGACTATGATAGGTGGAAAATTCGCAAATTTGAAATTGTTCATGTAATTTTATTTCTTGTAAAATAGGCTATGCATTTTTCAGACATCGAAAAAAATTGCATGTATTTTTTGGCAAATATTAAATAAGTCATGATATTATTTTTCTGATAAATATTAAATAAGTTTTAAATATATATATATATATATATATATATTAAATAAGTTAAGTTCTAAATTCATAAATGTTTTCTCCTAGGAAGCATATAATTTTGTTTCCCACCACAACATGCAAAGATTAACTATTAAAGCATGCTGTGTTGGGAAACATATAATTTAGATTTTGAGTGGAGGATTTAAGAGGTTCAACATATGGGAAATGTCTACTTATATATGAAGCTTTATAAGAGATATGCAAGTAATGATAAAATCAAAAGTTTAACTATCATTTGCATGACCATGCACATTTATATTCAACATTTATACATCTTTTTGTCAGCTCATCAAGTTATATTAATAAACATGTTTGCCTCCACCACAGGACCCAAAAAAATTGTTTCATTATAAATGATGTTTTCGATTTCTATGCAAATATTAAATATTTTTAATAATTTTTGACCGATCATATATTACATCATATTTTCTTATTTGTTGATTTCAAATTAGTTACGATGTTTTAATGGGAAATAGAAAAAATTATATGTTTAATTAGTATGTGCGTAAGAACCTTAAACATCGAATAAAAAGAAATAGAGGAGTAATATTCTAACTTTATCTTGACCTAATTGTTTCGTAGAGCTCCAATATTTACCGTGGAGATTCTAGGCGGTGAGAATGCAGTGGGAGATTTAACCATGGATTTAAACTAATTGATCGATCAAAGTCAAACCCAAACCCAAATCACACACAAAAGCTCTTTATACAAACAAACATATCTGTAAACTAATTGTCATCACATTCTTTAATTTTTTTTTATTTTTTTTTTTTGGTGAAGGACCGAAACAAGCATGCAAAATGAATATGTTTTTAAGTCTTGTTTAACAACGACTTAGGAAGAGGAAGAAACGTCTTGAAGAGAGTTGAATTGGGTGGTTTCAGGTTTCACCTGAAGAAGAAGAAGAAACTTAGTTACTAAAAGATCTTTTGCATCTTCTTTAGTTCTTTGGCAACTTCCACCATCGTTGGAATTTCCCCTTCATGACCTACGCATCTCAGTGAGAGCCTTAGGAAAGCTTTCATTTGACAACGCTCTTCTTCTGAAACATCAGCCACCATCTTATCTAGCATATCTTGATCTGCGATCTCTTCCATTCTTCGTTCCCCCCTCGGAAATTTCGACAGCCAAAACTGATGAGAGTCATCATCAACATTTCTTTCACTGTAACCTTTTTTATTGGCTTCTATCCAAATCTGCCAAGATCCTTCTCTTCCAATAAGAAGGCGTTGCAATATCAGAATTCCAAAGGCAAACACATCTGTTTTCTCCGAGATGACGCTACTTTTCGGGTAACTATTAAAGTCTGCGTAATAATATAACTCTACTAGACTATCATCAACCTGAACAAATGTTTCTCCTTGTGGAATTGAGACGCAAAGAGAGAAATCAGTCAGCTTCGCGACACCATCTTCATCCACAAAGATATTCTCAAGACGCATACACCTATACACAAATGGCCTTGGGAACGCGGTGTGAAGGTAAGCTAAACCAATGGCGATATCCTCAGCTATCTTCATTCTCCTTTTCCATGTCTCTTTACTTATATCCAACTTGTTATGTTTCTTAACATCACTATAAACCATAACCGGATTTTCAGACTCGAGACAACATCCAACCAATTTTAAAAAGCTTTTGTGACCACTCACCATTGATGATACAGCTATGTCCCTGCATATCATATTTTCATCTCCGTATATATAAAGTTTCTTGACGAGTATTTTGTGTTGGCTCTGGTTTTTACCTGAATACCATTGGCAGTCAAAGTTGACAGGAGGATTGAGAAAAACCAAATCATTGAAACTGTTGAACTCGTAAAGACGATTAAACCTGCTGAAACTGTCTGTGGCTTTGATAATCTCATCAGCAGAGAAAAATTTTATGGGATTGGATTTGCCATCGCAACATTTTATCAACTCTTCTAACAACTTTGCCCGTCTCATTAGTAGTAGCTTCTTATTTCTCTTCCTCCTTTGCCACCAATCCATCTTGAAACCAAATCAAAAGAAAAGTACTTCGAAATCAAATGACCAGAGGATTGAAGATTGTAAACGAATTGGAACATTTTTAGATAAGATTTTTAAGGTACGTACTCATGCAATTCTTCTTGTTGACTTAGAGCAACTCCAACGGAGTATTCCTCTAGAGAACCTTTTAACAAAATAATAATAAAAATATAAGAGAGAAGGTAAAAAAGAGAGAAACTGTTTCTGAAAGCTTTTTCTACAGAACCTGTATCTCTATATAAATGACCATGTGTCCTTCTGTTAAAGGTTACAGCTGATAAAAAAAAGAAAAAATATATAATTATAAATTAAATAATATTTTTTCTCATTTTACAGAACTTTTGAAAGTCTCTCTCCGTTGAGGCTGGTCTTAGAGGACTTTTCAAAGTCCCACCACTTCCACGTAAACATAATCTAGTTCAAACCTAGTTCGATATATATGATGATGACACACTCAAAATATTCAACGTCACATAAATAGTGTTTTGGTCAAATTTAATAAAGTTCTCATATTTTTTTTTTTTTGGGTGGGAGTAAGAAAGGTCGGTCTGTTTTGAATTTTTGACATTTGATTTTACAATTTGACAATTTTAGGTAAAGGGGATGTTAGGAAAATAATATACTCATGAAACATATTATGTTTTTAGTACATATACTATTTAAAATTAGAGAAATGAGTTGGCTGTGCTGTGTGAGATATAAAGAAATGTGGGGTATAGAGTTGGTTTTTTTATTTTATTTTATTACATTACCCTTCAATTTTAATAACTAAAATAGTTATTGTTGTAAATTTTTTTATATTAAAAATAGTTATTGTTGTAAATTTTTTTATATTAAAAATAGTTATTGTTGTAAAATTTTTTTAGTAAAAATAGTTATTGTTGTAAATTTGTTTTCTAATTTATTTTTGAAATAGAAAAATCTATGTCTTTTTTCTATAATATGATATGCATTTTATTTTATAATTTCAAATACATTTTATATATTGTATTATTTTTAAAGTTTAGTAGTTGTCAAATTATATTTGTATAGCTAATAATGTCTACAAAAATATAGAAATACACATATTTTAATTTGTACGGTTCATTGAATGTACAAATATATAAAAATTTATGTTTTTTATTCGTAGAGATAGAATAGTACTATACAATATGCATGAAAGGTTGTGATCCCATTACTTTTGTTCAGCAAACGCACATCGTTGGTTCCTATGTTTGAAGCTAGTCTCAAAACTCTAAGAAATCCTCTTGAAATTTAATTTTCCAGTAAAAGCTTCATCAGGTTTTCATAGAAGGTTAACTTTATGTCGGTTCACATCTTATACCTATCATTTTTGTAGCTCCGGAAAAGAAATGAAAGAATCAAAAATAAGCATATAGAAATCCTATAATATATAGTTGATAAAACTTTTATTATAGTCTTATAACAGAGAAATTTCACCTTGATATAATTACGTTCTTTCAGTTTCTACAAAAATTTGATTAGTTATCTGTCCACACTTGAACATGTAAGTCCGTTATGTGAATCATATTTAGTTTGGTTATAATATAGTTTTATTTTAATTTTCTTTGATTTGAAATGTATTTTCATGTTGTCATATTATTTTAGGTTTTTTTTTTTTTTTTTTTATGTAAACGTCATATTATTTTAGATTAAGGAACTTAAATAGTAGAAGAAAGCATATGATGTAGGTTCAAAAGTTGGATAATATTCGATATATATGGTGGCACAACCAAGATATTCGACGTACCATAAGAGGTGTTTTGGTTAATTTTAATAAAGTTCTCTCTTTTTTTGGGATGGGAGTCATATAGGTGAGTCTGTTTAGAGTTTTGACATTTGATTATACAATTTAAAACTTTAGGTAAAAAATTTTATTAGTAATTTTTTGTGTGATTATGTTTATGTTTAATAGGTAACTTTTATGTGTTTATGTTTTGTCGTATTTAGGAAAGCCTTTCTCATTCAAAATCGCATCAAGACTAACAAATGTGTATTTCTCCGTTAAAAACTCTTTGGAAATTGTTAATTTAGCTTCTAACTTATTCGCTCAATAGTCAAAGTTATCACCATATATTTATGTGTGTATATATTCAAGAGTAAGATCAGCTTTTGTATAATGTATATTAATGTATACATACTAGGTTTAGGGGTTTGCATAATCTCAGGGATTGGAAGCTTATATCATTACTCTTAGAAAAAGTTTTGAGGGCTGCAAAGTTATCCTCTCGAGTGTAGTAGTTTCTCTTTATACCAGAGGGTACTAAGGAGAGGGTTGAACTGTCATGTCTTGGAGCTTGAATGCTACATTCACCAGTCTGTAAGCTAGGACAGAACATGTTCTCATGGGAGAGCCTTAGACAGTGTTGGACTCTTGGCAATGATTTTTCAGGTTTTTATATTCTAAGTTGACTATGGCATCAAAATCCAAATGTAAAGACATATGGTTTCTCTTAGAGGATGCCATATTTTGGGTTATCATAGATAAGGTAACCAAAGAATTCTACGTCTAGAGTATCATCAACATGAACATATGTTTCTCCTTCTGGAATTAAGACGATTAGTAAGAGAAATCACTAAGTCGCGGCCTCATCTTTATCTAATAAGATACTCACAAGACTCATACTCATATATACAAAGGGCCTTGGGAAGGCAGTGTGAAGGTAAGCTACAATAGTGACGATATCCTCTGTTATGTTCATTCTCCTTTTCCACGGCTCTGTACTTATATCTAAGTTGTAATGTTTCTTTACACCATCTAAAACCAAGACTCGATCTTCAAGCTCAAGACAACATCCAACCTATTTCATAAAGTTTTTGTGACCACTCACCATCTATGATACTGCTATGTCCCGGCAAATATTATTTTCATCAAGTATATATAAAACTTCTTGACCAGTTTTTTTGCTGTGGTTCTCGTTCTTACATGAATACCATCCGTACACTCTGGAAATACGATTAGACCAGCTGAAATTGTTGAAGGCTTTGAGGATCTCATCAGCAAAGAAGAATTTAATAGGATTGGATTTGCCATTGCAACATTCTATCAGCTCTTCTAACAACTTCCCCCCTCTCTTGTTTGCTAATATCTCGGGTTCTCGACCTTCTGGCGTGGTACAAAGTGGGTTTATAAACATAAATAGTACTAATCATGCTACAACACGGATTATATTTTATTTTATACAAAATTTAATATATTTTACATATTAAAACAAAGTTTTGATATATTATACTAGTCTATATATTTAATATAGTTATTCTCGTCGTCTGTTATTAGAATCATAACTTATTCTATCATATAACACACTATAGTTAACTTGTCGCCTGCTATAAATATGTTAAATACCTTTGTTTGAAACGACCAAATTAGAGTTGGTTAATTTTTTAATTTTCTATCTAAGATTTTTATTTATATTTAGTTAAACTGTTTTTACATGTTCCAAATCAAAATACTTTAAAAGTATATAAAACTATACATTTTATTTAAATTCTAACTTCCTTACTTATGCCTTGTTTTTTTTGCAAGTCGCCAGCAATCACAACCTGCGGCGGATAATAGTTCTTCATTTCCCTTTTTTCAATCGCTGGGTTTATTCTTATAACAGAGTTTTCCCCATATTTTCAGTCGCAAATCGCAATTTTTATGGCGATTGATTTTTATATTGATTTTCAGTCGCAATTTTTATGGCTAATTTTTTGGCTATTGATTGACTCTCAATTCCTTCTCTCTCACCTTAAAACAGTCGCAATTTTTATGGCGATTGATTTTTATGGCGATTGATTTTCAGTCGCAATTTTTATGGCTAATTTTTTGGCTATTGATTGACTCTCAATTCCTTCTCTCTCACCTTAAAACAGTCGCCGGTTTCAGATTTGTTTCAAATCTGAGCAGAAAAACAGTTAACTTTTTAGTCGCTGGATTGAATTGCTAGCGATCAGCAAAAGAACAAGCCCTAAGTCAAAAGCTTTGTTGAATATAATTTTGTTTAAAATAAATATTCTACCCAAGTTTAAATTTTACCAATTATAAGGCATTGCAATATCAAAATTTCCAAAGGCAAACACATCCGTTTTCTCCGAGATGACTCTACTAGCTATTCTGGTAATTAAACCTATTGTACATATAATCCGTTTGGATTATCAACTTGTACATATGTTTCTCTTTGTGGAACTGAAACGTAGAGAGAGAAATCAGTCATACACTAGAATTGAAACGTAACTGTAATAATCTATGTTTAACATTACTTGAGACATGAATGTCACCGTTAAAACGAAGGTTTGGTAAACCCGAATTTTACAAAACAGTCATATAGAGTTCACAGTTCTACATTGATGAACCTAACTCAGTTGTTGCCCATTCAACATAATATTCTTATGCAGACAAGTTGATATGCATAACAAATAGTATCTAGCCAAGAGGTTCACATATTTCATAAAATCTCTTGATGACACTAATCAAAACAGATGGGTCGATCAAACCCAAAAGGCCAAAACATACAGACACATAGCACTAAGGTGATAATGTCTTCATTACAAACAAGAATCGAAGTTCTTTTCAACACATCCTCTGCTTTTTTCCTGAGAAACCGAAACCAGGTCAACATAAGCCATTGTATAATTTCGTGAAATACATGAAAGCAGAGGCGATACATGTAAGCAATGCCTATGTGTTTGTAGTCTGGTTTGAGAGGACGACTGTGGAAGACATGTCTTGAGCAAAGTTTAACTGGGTTTCACCTGAAGGATAAGAGGAATCGGTGGTATTAAGAGATCTTTGTATCTTCTTTAGTTCTTTGGCGACTTCCACTATCGTTGGAATTTCCCCTTTATGACCGATGCATCGCAGTGAGAGCATTTTGAAAGCTTTCATTTGAGAAAGCTCTTCTTCTGAAATTTCACCCATCTTTTCTAGCATTTCTGGATCTATAACTTCATCCATTCTTCGCTCTTCAATGAATTTGAACCGTCTAAAATAAGACGGATTAGCCGGACTCACCATGGTTGCATAGTCATCAAGATCATCCTCTTCACCAACAGCTTCTCCTTCTTCTTCACTGTCAGTTTCTTCTGAAAATTGTCTTCTCTGATCATTGATCTCCGACATGGCTGCAGAGTGATAAGATTTATTATCATCATCATACCCTTCATCGCCAGCTTCTCCTTCTTCATAATCATCATCAGCTTCTCCTTCTTCATCATCATCATCAGCTTCTCCTTCTTCTTCATCATCATCATATTTCAAGAACCTTTCATCTCCCGTTAGAAGCCTTAGCATTAATATTCCAAAGGCAAACACATCCGTTTCCTCCGAGACTACCAGATTTCGATAGTATTTCTCGTCCATGTAATTAAGTGTTCCGGCCACTACGTCAACCTTGACAAATGTTTCTCCTTGTGGAATTGAGACGCAGAAAGAGAAACCAGTCAGCTTCGCGACACCATCTTCGTCCAATAAGATATTCCCATCAGAAAAACTCCTATATACAAAGGGCCTAGGGAAGGCGGTGTGAAGGTAAGCTAAACCAATGGCGATATCCTCAGCTATCTTCATTCTCCTTTCCCACAGCTCTCTACTTATATCTAATTCGTAATGTTTTTTAACATCATCATAAACCATGACCGGATTTTCACACTCGAGACAACATCCAACCAATTTCATAAAGTTTTTGTGACCACTCACCATCGATGATACTGCTATGTCCCGGCAAATTCTTCCATCTCGATTTCTATTGAATTTCCTGACGAGTATTTTGCGGTGGTTCTCGTTCTTACCTGAATACCAGTCGTGCAGAGCAACAAGATTAGAGTGGCTGAAATAATCGGTGGCTTTGAGGATCTGATGAGCGGAGAAGAATTTGATGGAATTGGATTTACCATCGCAACATTCGATCAGATCTTCTAACAACTTCGCCCCTCTCTTGTTTGCTAATATCAGCTTCTTATTCCTCTTCCTCCTCCACCACCATTTCATCTCTATACCCAAAAAAAATATAACAAGTACTTCAGATTAGATTTACTAGATTACATTAGTTTTTTCTTTTTTTTAAGATACTCAGTTCTTGAGGACTTGAACTCCACCGTCGGTGTATGTATTGTGTATCAATAAAAAACTGTAAAGGGTATTTTTCATAGGGAAAAATGTCAGTTAAATCACGAACTTTCAAATTTTGGCCATTTAAATCACGAACTTTCTATATGGCCATTCAAAACATGAACTTTTCGCTAACTTAGTTTTAAAAACATCATCTTTCGTTGACCAGGCCGAAATGAACACCATATCCTCAAATTCGTTGACAAAGCAGCTAACCATCGTTAATCATATTTGTTAGTGAGAAAAAACGTCGTTTAATGCTAAAACGATATCTCAAAATCGTGATTCTAACGTCATAATCCAAAAATCAAATCCCTACTTTCTCACTTTGTTTTAGCCTTAAACGACGTCGTCTCTTACTAATAGAGATGAATTAGTGATGGCTAAATGTTTGTTAGTTGTTTTGTAACAAATTTTTGGATATGATGTACAATTTGGCTTTGTTAACGAAAGATGATGGTTTAAAAACTAAGTTCACAAAAAATTCATGCTTTAAATGGCCACATAGAAAGTTCGTGATTTAAATGGCCAAAATTTGAAAGTTCATGATTTAAATGACATTTTTCCCATTTTTCATATATCTATTTTATTATTTTCGCAGCCTTTCTTTTTTTCTTTTGCCACTTTTCGTTTCAGTTTTTTTACAGAAATTGCCCTTCACAGTTGATTTTACAAAATTGTTTAATTAAGGTTAAAAGGGAAAATAACTCTTCCGGATTGGTTTAGACGTTTTTAAACTAGACCCGATTTCAGTATATGGATATTAGCACGTGTGTATTCTCTACTTTATTCTCTACTTAATACACACGTCCATAATAAAGTAGAGAATACACACGGTACTATTGAGCTTTTCACATCTGTTTTTTATTAACACATATGCCGTTCAGATTAAAATTATAATGGACTTCTAAAGTGGTAAAAAAAAACCTGATGGATATGTCTACAATTTAAAATTCTATTCGGCTCCTAAACAAAATTCTTGCCTTATATTGCAAGAATTGTGGTATTTTTTTTTTCTCTTTGAAATTTATATGATAAACATAAGAAAGGATACAAGGTACGATACATAAACCTAAACAAGGGAGACTAAAAGCCAGCAGACAACATACATGTCTCTGGAAACAAAGCCGGAGGAAGACTATATTTCCCTGGAAGCTACGACCAAACAAAAGATAAAAACAGTCTACAAATTCAACACAGAACTTTAAAACAGGAAAAACTAGCTAGAACGTAGAGAGAGAAATCAGTCATACACTAGAATTGAAACGTAATTGTAATAATCTAGTGCATTATTATTATAGTACGTATATTCATGATCTTCGTAGCTTCTCACACGTATATAGAAGTGTGTATTATACCAGTATTCTCGACAAGAGTTATGGTCTCTGGAAGTGGCTTAATGATTTGAATTATATAACATCATGTATAACATTACTTGAGATAGAAACCCGAATTTTACAAAACAGTCATATAGAGTTTACATATTTACATTGATGAACCCAACTCAGTTGTTGCCCATTCAACATAATTTTCTTATGCAGACAAGTATATATGCATAATAAATAGTATCTATCCAAGAGGGTCACATATATCATAAATTCTCTTGAAGACACTAATGAAAACAGATGTGTCAAAATTACGTGACAAAATTAAAGCGTAATTAAAGATTTTTTTTTAAGATACTCATTTCTTGAGGACTTGAACTTTTCTGAAGTCCACCATTAAAGCGTCGGTGTATGTAGTGATCACCATATCCATATACAGCATATACATTGTAGATGAAATTTCTTTGAACAATATGATGAGTGTAGATTCGGTCAAAGCGTTTGTATTCATAAACTTTAATTAACTAACAATATAATAAAATTTTGATGGATTGTTTAATATTGAAAAAATACTAACACTTATTGAAACTTGTAAAAACTAATGCTTATTGCACCAATCTTGAACCCTCGTTTATGTAAAATATTTATTGTGATCGGTATGGATTAGACGTAGTCACTTATGCTCAACTCTTACATAGTGATTGTCATGCACTTTTCTTCTATGTTTAATCATTTTCTTATTTATGTTTTCTTGTTTATATTCTTCTTTTACTTTATCATTTATTTTGAACCAAGTTTTTCAATTCAACATCATATCTTTTTGAAACAATTGTATTATAATCACCTTTTTTGAAAAAACTTGATTTTAGCACTTCAATTTCATTAATATATGTATCTTCCCACAAGTTTGTTCGAAATCTAGTATGAAATATTATTGTTAAAGACAAAAAATTTATTTAAATCTTTATGCTTCTTCTTCTTAGATTCAGAGAAATCTCTTTTATGCATCTTCGGTATAATTAGAAGAATTAAAATATATTTTTGGACATCATAAATCGTTGCTAATATCTATATCATTAAAAAAAAAAAAAATTTCTATATCATTAACATCATTATCTGATGACAAAAAATTAAAAAAAAAATTACATCATTATCTAGTTTAGACCACTCTTCCAAATCCTTTCATCCTCTAATATAACCCTCTATATAGTAAACCTTCATCATTAGTTTTTTTTTGGTTTAAGTATATGTCTATTCTAAAAGTTTCAGTATCACTCCAACATATACAATAATACAAAACCACGTTAAACTCGTCCACAAACATTATGAATTTAGTGGAGACTGGTTTAAGGAGAGTAGTAAACGTTTTAGAGGTTGATTAAAGCAAAATTTTAATAACCCTACATAAATGATGTTTTTTATATATCTTTTGCTGTGTCAAGACAAAATAAAGTGAAGCTTTTCTCAGACATAAAAAATAAAATAATTAACTCTGTTGCCGAGCCCCAACGAACTCTAAATATCTTGGAAATTTCTCCATAACAGAAAGCTGTAGACCTGCTTTGTGAGTACCAGGACGTTATTGATGTTTTGTAATAAGGGTTTTCCCTATTTTTTTCCTCGACAAAACAATTAAATAAATAATGATATATGATTTATTTCTGTTTTTGCCATTTTCAAATAGGAAAGAGAGGAAATTGCTATTTATAAAAATTAATAAATTAAAAAAAGGTAACAACTAGGGTTTTTGGTTATACAGTAAAACCTCTATAAATTAATAATGTTGGGACCTTAAAATTTTATTAATTTATAGTGATATTAATTTATCTGTAAATTAATATTTATTATTTTATAGTGTAAATTAATAATTATTAATTTATAGTGGTATTTTCACTCTTAACGTTTTTTGAAATTATGAATTTGGAAATTTTTACAAAAAAAAGAATAGTTTAAGATTATATAAATTTTTATAGTTTAGAATTGAATTCTATATTTATTAAAAAGAAATAACAATGAATTCAAAATATTATAAATAAATTCCTGTCTATACAAAGTACATACATGATGACAAAAAAAATACAAAGTACATACATAAATTCAAATATATGATTAATACCTCAATTATTATCTTTTACCATCCTATAAAACAAATAAAAATGAATATGATGCATATTTATAAATAGAAAACATTAGAAATTTTTTGTTTATTTTATGATGTTATGGAATATATTATAAGATTATAGTTTAAAAATATAATATAAATTTTTTGTATAGAGATGAGGTCTAGGAGAAATTCATTTTTAGAAAAAACTAAAAGAATATTTCAACATAACTACACACACATATATATATATATATATATATATTTATATAGTGATTATTAATTTATGATATTATTGGGACTATATTTACATAGGGATTTCAAAAAAACTTATTATCTTATTATCTTATCGAATTTGTTAATTTTTACATTGGCCCGACTTGGGACTAACAAAATTTATTAATTTATAGTGTTTATTAATTTATAGAGTATTAATTTATAGAGGTTTTACTGTACATTTCAGTATTTTTTATACATCTATAATGTATTTTCCAAGCTAAACTCGTAAAGAAGCTCTCATTTCGTACCGAATCTTGTGTTGTACAAAGTGGGTTTATAAACATAAATCGTACTAATCAGTACCAGTGCTACAATATGAATCATATTTTATTTTATAAAAACATTAATATATTATATATTTTTAAACAAAGTTTTGATATGTTATATTATTTTATATTTATTCTTTGCATTTGTTATAACGATCATAACTCACCTGTCATATAACACATTATAGTTAACTCGTCGCCAGCGATAAATATTTTTAATATCTTTGTTTGAATTGATCAAATTAGATTTTTTTAATTTCTTAATTTTTTATCTAAGATTATTACTGAAAAATTCCCTGAACTAGCAGCATTTAAGTTTTTGATCCATAACCGCACACCCTTAGTTTTGAAGTAAAAAGACTAATTTGCCCTTCTTTATAAACCTCACAATTCAACCCAATTTCAAACATTTTTTATTTCCCCTATCGATTCAATTTCAAACTATATTATATAATAAATATAATAATAAATATTAAAAATGTCGGATCCAGATATCTGGGCTAAAATTATCAAATATCCGTATTTGTATAAGTATCCGGCCAGATCCGTTATTTCACTATCCGGATATCCGGTTTTTCGGAGCGGATCGCAACGGATCCTGAATTTGATCACGGATCTCGTATATATGGTCTCAGTTCTAGTGTATAATAATCACCTCTTTAATAATGCATAAATATAACATATATAATACTCGTTCTATTTCATAAAGAGTCTCATTTTGACACATTTCACACAAATTAAGAAAAGATTAAAATATACATATAAACTCATATTTAATAAATGGTTAATGGTTTAATTAATTATAAATTAAGGGAAATATTTGGAAATCAAATGTAAAAATGCATTAGAAATGTAGAATGACTCTCTTTGTGTAACAAAAATTTTTCTCTAAAATGAAACTCTTTATAAAATAGAAGGAATAATATATATGACTTATATAATATAGTTAAGACAGTGATATTGGGTTATCATTACACCCGAATTCTAGTTCACGTTGAACCCGATTCATCACGGTGTCGTCTCTAATATTACAGTGAACCTCTATAAATTAATAATGTTGGGACTAGGATATTTTATTAATTTATATTGATATTAATTTATCTATTATTTTATAGTGTAACTTAATAATTATTAATTTATAGCGGTATTTTTATTTTTTTAAAATTTTAAAATATATGAATTGACACGATTTTACAAAAATAAGACTAATCTTTTAGATATTATAAGTTATATAGTAGTTAGAAAATGAATATTATATTTTAAAAATGAGAAATTTACTATAAACTAAAAATATTATGAATAAATTCACTTATACAAATTATATACATAAATTCAAATGTATATCAATAACCTCAACTGTTATATTTCAACATCCTATATAAAAAAAAAAGAATATGATGCATATTTAAAATTTGAAAAATCTGATGGTATATATCACAAGATTAATGTTTAAAAATATACTAACATAAAATTATTTATTGAGGTGAACTCTAAGAGATAATTGATTTTTACAAAAACAAAAAACATATATTAATATATCTACATATATATATATATATATATATGTATATAGTGATTATTAATTTATGATATTATTGGGACTATATTTTACATAGGAATTAAAAAAAATATTATCTTACTATTTTATCGAATTTGGTCAATTTTTACACTGGCCCGACTTGGGACCAGCAAAATTTATTAATTTATAGTGTTTATTAATGAGAAATTATTACTAATAACTTTTTTATGATACATTTTGCAAAACTACCCTCTTTTTTTGCCATTTTCATTTTTGCCCTCTCTGAAATTTTAATGGCCATTTTACACCTAGTTGAAAGAAAATTCTTTCCTAAATGAAGGAATATTCCTTCCAAAAATTTCCCGCCAAAAAAATTTCCGAGAAAAATTTGCCCGCAATAAAGATTTCCGCAAAAATTTTCACGCAAAAAAGAAAAATTTTACAAAATTTTCCCGCCAAATTTTTTTAAATGATTTACAAGGATTTTTGAAGGGTCTTTTAAAGGTTTTACAAGAGTTTTTAAAGGGATTTACAAGAGTTTTTAAAGGGATTTACAAGAGTTTTTAAATGGTTTTTAAAAGCTTTGTAATGATTTTTATAAGGTTTTAGAAGCTTACAAAGGTTTTTGAATGGTTTTTAAAAGTTTTTATAAGTTTATAACAGTTTTAAAAGGATTTACAAGGATTTTTAAAAGATTTTAAAAATTTACATGGATTTTTAAAGGTTTTTTAAAAGGATTTACAAGTGTTTTTAAAGGCATACAAGGATTTAAAAATGGTTTTAAAATGATTTACAAGGATTTTGATAGATATTTACAAAGATTTAAAAATAGTTTTAAAGGATTTAGAAGGTGTTTAAAGGGTTTTAGAAGTTTACAAAGGTTTTTAAAGGGTTTACAAAAACGTTTAGAGGTATTACAAGTTTTTTAAAATGGTTTTTAAGGATATACAAGGGTTTTCAAAGGGTTTTAGAAGTTTACAAAAGTTTTTATTAAAGGTTTTATCACGGTTATAAGGGGTTTAAAGGGATTTTAAAGTGTTTATAAATGTTATAAAATGATTTACAATGGTTTTAAAATTTTTACTAAAGTTTTGAAAGGTTTTAGATGACTTTTAAAAGATTTACAAGGGTTTTTAAAGGATTTGTTAAGGATTTAAAAAAAATTACAAGGTTTTTAAAAGGTTTTTTTAAGGAATTGCGGAAAAAATTTGGCGGAAAAATTTTTGGCGGGAAAATTTGGAGGGAAATATTTCAGAAGGAATATTCTTTTTGCTGGAAAAAATATTCTTTTCTTCATCATGGGTTATAATAAAGGAGGTAATTAAGTCGTTTTGTACATTGAAGAATGTATTTTTGAAAATGGACACCTAGAGAGGGTACTTATATCTAATTTGTAATGTTTCTTAACAGTAACACCATCATAAACCATGAATGGATCTTTAAACTCAAGACAACATCCAACTAATTTCAAGAAGTTCTTGTGACCACTTACCATCGATGATATTGCTATGTCCCCACAAATACCTATATCTCCGTGTTTATAGCATTTCTTGACGAGTATTTTGCAGTAGTTCTCGTTCTTACCTGAATACCATTCCTCTAATCCGGAAAGATGATTAGATTTGCTGAAACTGTTGGTGGCTTTGAAGATCTCATCAGCAGAGAAGAATTTGATAATATTCTATCAGCTCTTCTAACACCATCGCCCCTCTCGCTAATATTCGCTTCTTGTTCCTCTTCCGCCACTAACCCATCTCTAAGAAAAAAGTACTTTACTTTGAAACCAAATAAATCAAAAGACTGAAGACCTCCCTAGCATAATATAGTATAATCAAGTTCATTAAGCTAAAAAAAAAGTACTTTACAAATTACTCATTTCTTTTTGTTGACTTGAGGACTTGTACTTTTCTAAGTGCTCTCCCATTTCGACGCAAAAGACAATTGTAGGAAATAATTAAAGTGGCTTAATGAGTTATAATACAATAAGACACATCCCCCCCTGACATCTAAGCAAAAGTGAACTATAATCCACACAAAATTCTGGGTAATTTCAACCTGTAAAATTTCAAAAGTGTATTTTAATATCTCAATTTTGTTAATGTATGAATTTAAACATGAACTAAAAATTTTTTCAAATAAACAAAAATTAATATTAACTGAAATTATGTTGATCAACTACGATGAGTCAGATATCATGTATGCAGATTTTGCTGGCATATGTACAAATTTTGCTAACTCACTTACCTTTAAAATTGTTTAGGTTAAAATTTGCCTTTCAAATGGAGTTCTCACTAAGACACAAAAAAAACTTAATTCCTAATGACGACCCATCTTTAAATTCCAATTACATCATACATTAATATCAAAGCAACGCCATAAAATTCTGAACGTTCTTCTACTCCTTAAGGATTCATGCTCTTATATTAATTTGATGCTTAATATTATAAGACTCTTCGATACATAACCTTTAATCTGATCTCCACTCAAGTTTCTGATGTACGTAAGTTAGAAATGTCGAACATGCATGCATGATTTATAGTCTAATTAATTATCATCGAACGAAACATGTATTAGAGCTTAACTTGTATAGTCGATTTACACATGTACATGCCATATAAAGCTTCTCTCGAGTGCTGAAAATACTTTATATAGGTCGAATGAAACACCAACGTCAATGAATATAATAGGTAAATTTAACGATTTCTTTTTTATAAATTTTTTTATCATTTTATTTTCTATTTTATTTTTCTTTGTAATTAATTGGTATATTATTTTGGGTTAGTTAAAAATATGACCATAAAAAAACTGAAAACAAAAAGAAAAGGAGTTATAAGTTAATAATTAGTTTCGGATCTAACGAACTTTTATTATTATTACTAGTATAGTACCCGTCCGATGGGCGGGTTATCTTTATTTAAAATTAAATTAAAACTGATATTTATTATAACTTATAAAAAATAATTTCTAATTTTTTTTTTGAAAAAATAAGAAAAACTAATTTCATTTGGAAAGAGATTTTATTTGGTTTGAAGTATCAAATAAACGTGTATATATATATATCTTAAAATTCGTTATTAAACGTTAATTATAAAAATCTAGTAATGTCAAACTGACAATCACCAAAATATTTGGGAGCTATTTGGGAGCTATTTACCATTACTCATAATATTGCTAAAATATTTTAAAAAATCATAATTTAGCAATTATCCTCTAAAACATGATTATACCATTTTGTAAAATAAATTATAATTCTTATTTATCATTTATATACCCAAACCAACAAATAACCTGATTTAATTGTAAAATTAAAGTTTAAACCTTAATCCTCTTCTGTAAACAAAAACCGCCATATATTCTTGTTAATTATAAATTTTAAATCCCTATCTTATTAGTAAACCAAATAGACATAACTGAAATTATGTTATTTGTTTTATTTTATTAATAATTTTAATATATAATTCTTTATAATATTTATTTTATCTATTTCCTTTTTCGATAGGGTTAATAATATTTCTATTTTATCCAAATATTAACAAAAGTAGTTACGACACGTATCAATATCTTATCGTTTATAATTGACATGTGTCACGATCTTGTTAATGGCTGACTTTGAAAACCAAGGTTTATATAATAAGATGAGCTTCATTAAAGTGTAAATATGATACAAGTTTAACTTAAATACTAAGAGTTACACCATATAGATAACCGAAACTAAACCGGTTCTATATACACTCTAATAAATACCACCAATCTCTTCCTTTAATCTTGACAGCCAATTCTGAAGACGTCTTCTCATCTTACTTTCATATTCATTATCAGTACCATAATCTTCACCTTAACCATTCTTCTTTTTCGTTTGCCCAAAAAGCTTTCTTTTCAGGTTAGAAGCTTTAGTATCATTATCTAATGAAACAGTGGTTTCTGATACTATGTACTTCAGAATATAATAGTTATACGACTTCTGTTATATATATCCCTTCTTTTCTTTTGACATCATTTGTGTTATATTTTTTTATTAAAATATCATATAGATGGGAGAAATTAATGAAAAGAGAAGGATAGATCAAAGTCAACAAACCCAAAACACAGACACAAGCATAAGAATGGTCTCAATACAAACAAACATGAATGTAAGTAAATTTCAGCACAAACTTAACCCATTGAAACATTTCGTGAAGTACCTGAAGGCAGGCATGCAAAATGACTTTGTGTTTGACTTAGGAAGAGGAAGAAACGTCTTGGGGAGAGTTGAATTGGGTGGTTTCACCTATAGGAGAAGAAGAGATGTTTTGTATCTTCTTTAGTTCGTTGGTCACTTCCACCATCGTTGGAATTTCCCCTTTATGACCGACGCATCTCAGTGAGAGCATTTTGAAAGCTTCCATTTGAGAAAGCTCTTCTTCTGAAATTTCACCCATCTTTTCTAGCATTTCTTGATCTGTGACTTCATCCATTCTTCGCTCTTCAATGAATTTGAACTGTTTAAAAAAAGATGGATTAGCCGGCCTCAACATGGTTCCAGAGTCATCATGATTATCCTCTTCACCAACAGCTTCTCCTTCTTCTTCACTTTCAGTTTCTTCTGAAAATTGTCTTCTTAGATCATTGATATCCGACATGGCTGCAGAGTGATAAGAGTTATTATCATCATCATACCCTTCATCTTCAGCTTCTACTTCTTCATCATCATCATAAATCCATAATATTTCTTTTCCCGTTAGAAACTTTAACATTAATATTCCAATGGCAAAGATATCTGTTTCCTCCGACACTAGGCGGTTTCTCATGTATTTATCATCCATGTAACCATTTATTCCCGCCACTTTTTCAACCTGTACAAATGTTTCTCCTTGTGGAATTGAGACGCAGTAAGAGAAATCAGTTAGCTTCGCGACACCATCTTCATCCACTAAGATATTCTCACGACATATACTCCTATATACGAATGGCCTAGGGAAGGCAGTGTGAAGGTAAGCTAAAGCCGTGGCGATATCCTCAGCTATCTTCATTCTCCTTTTCCACGTCTCTCTCCTTATATCTATTTGATAATGTTTCTTTACACCATCATATACCATGACTGGATTTTTAGACTGAAGACAACATCCAACCAATTTCATAAAGTTATTGTGACCACTCACCATCGATGATACTGCTATGTCCCGGATAAAGGTTCCATCCGCGTATCTATATAATTTCTTGACAAGTATTCTGGGGTGGTTCTCGTTCTTACCTGAATACCAGTCTGTCCAGTGGTAGCAGCCATAACCATCTAATTCGGATAGACGATTAGATCCGCTGAAACTGTTGGTGGCATTGAGGATCTCATCAGTAGAGAAGAATTTGATGGGATTGGATTTGCCATCGTAACATTCTATCAGCTCTTCTAACAACTTCGTCCCTCTCTTGTTCGCTAATATCTCGGATTCTGTTGGCTTCTTGTTCTTCTTCTTACTCCTCAGCCAACCCATCTCAAAAGAAAAACGAATAAAGAAAGTACTTAGCATGAAAAAAAAAATCAAATGAACCAGAGGATTCAAGACCTTACGCAATGAGTTGTAAACGAAATGAGATATTTATTAGATTAGATTTTTTAAGATACTCAGTTCTTGAGTACTTGGGGACTTAGACTATTCTAAGTTCAAAATATTTGATATAATATGAACTCGCAAGTTGAATCAAACACCACATATGGATATAATATGAAAATTTAATGCTTCGATCTGTTTTCTTTTGTTATCGTTTCTTAAATTTTTGTTTGATTGGAAATGTTTTATTTTCTTTGTTAATTGGTATATTAATTCTTCTTGTTGACTTGAGAGGACTTGGACTTTTCTAAGTCTCCCGCCCACTCTTAGACCAACATTATCAATGGGATCTTAGAGTTTAAAATCCCTCGGTTTTTGCAAAGGAAAGATCTTATATAAGATATTTTCTTTGTAAAAAAAGATCTTTCCTTTGCAAAAATCGGGGGATCTTAGCCTCTAAGATCCCACCAATAATGATGCCCTTACACCTTAACTTGTAGAACATTGTTTCACTTTACTTCAAACGTGAATGTCGCAGTTGAGCCAATCTACCCAAAACTTTACTTTAGAGTTACTCTATTTTTTTCTTTTAAATAGAGTAACTATAAAATAGAACATTGTTTGTTTCAGTGAATTACTCTATTTTTTTACTCTAAAACTAGGTTCGGACCCACGCTACAGCGCGGAGGAAATAATTACATATATATAACCTTTAGCTGATTAAAATATGTTACATTTTAATTTTATTGTAGTGCAAGCGATTACGGTGAAACATATATTTGCATAATAAATCTAAATGAAATAATAAAGGAAAAACCGAGTAAATAATAATATATTAAGTTTTGATACAATTAAAAACACGGTAAAAATTTAACAGCACGAATATTTGTCGATAAATTATTCATTTTGACCATTTTGTAGTAGAAGTAGGAATATACGTATAAATTACATATTTACAATATAATATTTAAAGGACCAACCCATAACAGAATTCATTTCCTAAAAAACATTATTCATAACTCGCTTTATCATTATAATTGTAATTTTAACAAACTACCCGTGAACTATCTAAAATTTACATAGTTTGATATATAATATATTTTATCAATAAAAATTATGTCTCCAAAATTACATTTATGTTTTCAAAAAAATATTTTCAATACTTTAAATTCTAAAAAAAAATTTATATATATTTGAACCTTTTAATATAATATTTTGAAATTTTAAATATGCTCATTTAACCATGGTTTTAATATTGGTCAAAGTTATATGATTTTAAACCATTATGCAAAATATTTAACTGAGTGTAGTTGAATATTATATTTCCGTTTTGAAAAATTCAAATTGCAACATGTGCAAAAAAAAAGTTAAAATTATATTAAATATTTATATTATAAATTATTTATATTAAATATTTATATTTCCAGTTAAATCCTTCGTCTCTTTGAATACATAACTTTGAAATCTGTATCCATATTCGTTTACATATAAATCAAATATTCGTTTACGTATAAATCAAAGCAACTCCATAAAATTCTGAACTCTCTTCTACTCTTTCCCCTTCCATAATAACGATTCATATCTCAATACAAATAGTTTAACATATATCAATACAAATAGTTTAATTTGTACGGTTCATTGTATAAAAGTTTATGTATTTTTATCTGTACAGATAGAATAGTATACACTATGCATATACATTTGTACGATAATAAGCTGTATATATGACATTATGTAGTATATTTTTTATCATTGTACAATAATATGTAATTTACAAATCATATAATTATCTAACTGGCATACTCGTAACTAATATATTTTGTTGAAAGTTTAAAAGTCTCTCAAACAATAACAAATATTGAAAATGAGAAATTTTGCTAATTATAAAGAGAAATTGATACCAATAACCTTTTTATGATACCCTCTTTTAAAAATACCCTCTTTTTTTACCATTTTCATTTTTGCCCTCTCTTAATTTTTAATGGCTATTTTACCCCTATTTGAAAGAATATTCTTTCACAAAGGAAGGAATATTTCTTCCGAAAATTCCCCCCCCCCCAAAAAAATTTCCCGCCAAAAACTTTCCCGCCAAAATTTTCCCACCAAAAAAGTTTCCGTGAAAAAAATTTCCCGCCAAAAATTTTCTCGGGAAAATTTATCCGCCAAAAAATTTCCGCAAAATTTTCCCGCAAAAAAAAAAAAAATTTCAAAATTTTCCCGCCAAATTTTTTTAAACGGTTTACAAGATTTTTTTAACGGGTTTTTAAAGGGTTTACAAGGGTTTTTAAAGGGATTTACAAGAGTTTTTAAATGGTTTTTAAAAGATTTGTAATGGTTTTTAAAGAGTTTTAGAAGCCTACAAAGGTTTTTAAATGGTTTTTAAATGATTTACAATGGTTATTAATAGTTTTTACAAGTTTATAACAATTTTAAAAGGATTTACAAGAATTTTTAAAGGATTTTAAAAATTTACAGGGATTTTTAAAGGTTTTTTAAAATGATTTACAAGTGTTTTTAAAAGGATTTAAAAGTATATTTAAAGGCATGCACAGATCTAAAAATAGTTTTAAAGGATTTACAAGAAGTTTTAAAGGGTTTTAGAAGTTTACATAGGTTTTTGAAGGGTTTACAAAAGTTTTTAAAGGTATTACAAGTTCTTTAAAATGGGTTTTAAGGATTTACAAGGGTTTTTAACGGGTTTTAGAAGTTTACAAAAGTTTTTATTAAATGATTTATCATGGTTATAAGTGGTTAAAGGGATTTACAAGTGTTTATAAATGTTATAAAATGATTTACAATGGTTTTAAAAGGTTTACTCAAGTTTTGAAAGGTTTTGGATGACTTTTAAAAGATTTACAAGGGTTTTTAAAGGATTTTTTAAGGGATTTATAAATATTTACAAGGTTTTTTTAAGAAATTGCGGAAAATTTTTTGTCGGAAATTTTTTGGCGGGAAATTTTTTTTGGCGGGAAAATTTTTTGTCGGAATTTTTTGGCGGGAAAATTTTTGCCCAAAATTTTTCGGAAGGAATATTCTTTTTGTTGGAAGAATATTCCTTTTTTCATCATGGGTTATAATAAAGGAGGGTAATTTAGTCATTTGTACATTGAAGAGGGTATTTTTGAAAATAAACACCTAGAGAGGGTACTTGTAGAAAAGGGTATCATAATAAAGGTTAGTTGTGCAAATCTCCCAATTATAAATAGTAAACGTACTAGTTGTCCAAAAATTTACTTTAGGTAATGTCTTTTTTTTTTATCAGTAATTTTTGTATGTTTATGTTTATAAGTAATTTTTGTGTGTTTATGTCTTGTCTCATTCAAAATCGCATCAAAACTGACACCAACGTTATTTATCCGTTGAGAATTCTTTGGAAAATTGCTAATTTGGTCTTAAACTTATTCTGCTCAAAGGTCAAAGTTGTTACCATATATTTCTGTTTATATATTCATGAATAAGTTCAGCTTTTGAATATATATAAATGTATATATATAATTCTATCTATTATATTATATATATATATACTAGATTTACTTACCTTCCTTAAACAATAATAACATAAAAGCCTCTCAACAAAGATTTCTTGAATGACAGGTAAAAAGATAATAAGATTAATTTTTATAGAGAGGAATAAACAATGAAAAATGGGTTCTTCTTACTGCACACGAGGTTCATATTTTGTGATGCAGTTACTTTTGTTCAGCAAACGTACATTGTTGGTTCTTATGGTTGAAACTAGTCTCAAAAATCCAAGAAATCCTCTTAGATTTTTATTTTCCATAAAAAGTTTCATCTTCATCTGCTTTTCAAATAAAGTTAATTTTATTTCAGTTCACATCTTATCACTGTCATTCTTGTAGCTCTGAAAAAGAAATGCATGAATCCAAGAAATTTTATAATAGTTGATAATTAAAAGAGAGATTTAATCTTGATATTGCCACATTACTTGAATCTCCAAAAACTTTATGTAGTTATCTGTCCACAGTCAAACATGTACTTCCTTTATGTGAATAATATTTAGTTTGGTTTTTTTTGTTTTTTTTTCTTTGACTTGAAATGTATTTTTCATATTGTCATATTATTGTAGATTAAGGAACATGAATACTAGAAGAAAGCATACGATTTAGGTTTAAAAAATTGGATAATAGTCGATATACCAAGATATTCGGCGTACCATAAGAGGTGTTTTGGTCAATTTTAATAAAGTTCTCTTTCTTTTTTTGGGTGGGAGTCATACTCGTGAGTTTGCTTTGAGTTTACATTTGATTTTACAATTTACAACTTTTTGTCATATTTTCTTTATCAGTAATTTTTGTGTGTTTATGTTTATGTTTAAGAGGTAATATTTGTGTGTTTATGTAATATCGTATTTAGGAAAGCTAGCTTTCTTATTCAAAATCGCATCAAGACTGGCACCAATGTGTATTTCTCCGTTGAGAATTCTTTGGAAAATTGCTAATTTAGCTTCTAACTTATTCCGCTCAAAAGTCAATTATAAATGCTATTAAATTGTTATTTGCTTAAGAGAAATTAATTAAATGCTTTTGCATTAATTATTTTTTTTGACATCCTATATATGAAAAATGAATATGATGCATATTTGTTTTTTTAACAATATGATACATATTTAAAAATTGAAAACATAAAGAAAATTTTGTTATTTTAATGACTTGTAACGCCCGTGTTCCGGTTTGGGTGGTGTCGAGCGACACCACTGAAGGGTGTCGCTCGACACCAGCATGTTTTCGGTTTGATCGGATCGATTTTAATTGCGAAATTGTGTGGTTATTGGTTTGGGTTAACCCTATGTCGTGTTTAAAAGAGGGAAAAATCGTGTTTTGTCTCTTTCCAGCCGCTTTTTAATACTTTCAGAGATAGAGAAAAGTTCTAGAGCTTTCTGAGGGTTTTGTGAGTCTTTTGGTGGTGTTTGGTGGCTGATCTTGGTGGTGTAAGGCTAGTGGAGGCTAGATTCGTGCTGTGTGGTGTTAGAGGAGGCAGATCCTTCCTTGTTCTTCCCTGTTTCGTTGCTGTTCCTTCTTGTTTAAGAGGTGAGTGCATGACCATGCTTATCTAAGCATGTTTGATCATTGTTTTGGGTGTTTTGATGATTGGTTGATTGATTTCTTTGCTTGTTTGGCTGTTTATATGATGATTGATGCCTGTGGAATTATGGCGAGGAGAGGAGGATGATCTAGGCGCTTATTGGTGTTTTAGATTATTGTTGGATTTGTTAGGGTGTTAGAATGGAATTTAGAAGCATGTTAGGATGATCATGTTTTGGAATAAAGTTTGGTTGAACTTGATGAGTTAATGAAATTGTTTTATTGGATTGGATTTTTGGTTAAGTCTTCCGCTGTTAATGTTGATCGTTTGGTTCTAATAAGATTAGCTGGTTTGAGTTTATCGGGTTAATCTGGTTTTGCATGTTTTTAAAAAAAAAAAAAAGGGATGGGTTCTTTCATGACTTGTGATGATATATATTACAAGATTATTGTTTAAAAAAATACTAACATAAAATTATTTTTTGAGGTGAACTCTAGGAGCAAAATTCATTTTTATAAAACCTTAAAAACATATATTAATATATCTACTTATATGTATATATAGAGTGATTATTAATTTATGATATTATTGAGACTATTTTACATGGAGGTATCAAAATAATTATTGTCTTATCGAGTTTGGTCAATTTTTACATTGACCCGACTTGGGACCAACAAATTTTATTAATTTATAGTGTTTATTAATTTATATAGTATTAATTTATAGATGTTTTTCTGTACAATAAATGGGTACGTATATTAAAACCAAACGAATTTACAACTGTACAATTAATACACACTATTCTTTTTATCATATAGTACAAATCTATACTATTAAACACCAAATATTTATACAATACAGTAAATATTTTAGTAATTTGTTCCAAAACAATATTTCAACCGTGCGAAAGTACGAGTTATCCTCTAGTAGAAAGTAAATAACATGATAAATACTCATTTCTAGTAGAATATTCAAATAGAGGCATGTGGCTAGCTAGGTGTGGTTGGTTGTATGGCCATTAGAGGGAGATATTAGCCTAACGTATGCTTGTTGTTCAAGTTGGTGACCGATGCTCCTGTGTCTCTACACTAGAACAAGACCATGTCCATAAGGATGTCTTGGGAAGAAATGTCTTGAGCATAGTCGATTTGGGTTTCACCATAAGGATCTCTATGTTTAAAGCCTGGTTTAAGAGATCTTTGTATCTTTTTCAGTTCTTTTGCCACTTCCACCATCGTTGGAACTTCCCCTTTATGACCAACGCATCTCAGTGATAGCATCAAGAAAGCTTTCATTTGACAAAGCTCTAGTTCTGAATTTTCACCCATCTTTGGGTCAGCAATCTCATCGACTCTCCCTTCTTCCATGAAACGTAAAATCCAATTTAACTTCATCTTTGCCATGGTTATAGAATCATCACCACTACCATCGCCATCACCATCACCTTCTCCTTTTTCTTTTTCTTGTTCTCTTATAAAACGCTTCCAAAATCTTTCTCTTCCGGTTAGAAACGTTTGCATTAACATTCCAAAGGCAAAGACGTCTGTTTTCTCCGAGACAACGCCATTTCTCAGGTACTTATAGTCCATGTAACCATGTAATCCCACTAGACTATCAACATGTACAAATGTTTCTCCTTCTGGAATTGAGACACAGTAAGATAAATCACTAAGCTTTGCGACCCCATCTTCATCCAATAAGATATTCCCAAGACTCATACATCTATATACGAAGGGCCTTGGGAACGCGGTGTGAAGGTAAGCTAAAGTAGTGGCGATATCCTCTGTTATCTTCATCCTCCTTTTCCATGGCTGCTCACTTATATCTAATTTGTAATGTTTCTTAACACCATCATAAACCATGACTGGATTTCTAAACTCAAGACAACAACCAATCAATTTCATAAAGTTTTTGTGACCACTTACCATCGAAGAAACTGCTATGTCGCGGCAAATACTTCTATCTTCGCAATTATAGCATTTCTTAACGAGTATTTTGTGGTGGTTCTCGTTCTTACCTGAATACCATATTTCTAATCCGGAAAGACGATTTGATTTGCTGAAACTGTTGGTGGCTTTGAGGATCTCATCAGCAGAGAAGAATTTGATAGGATTAGATTTGCCATCACAACATTCTATCAGCTCTTCTAACACCATTGCCCCTCTCGCTAATATTCGCTTCTTGTTCCTCTTCCCCCACCAACCCATCTCTAAGAAAAAAAGTACTTTACTTTGAAACCAAATAAACCAAAAGACTGAAGACCTCCCTCACATAACATAACATAATATAATCATTAAACTAAAAAAAAGTACTTTACCAATTACTCATTTCTTTTTGTTGACTATAGAGGACTTGGACTTTTCTAAGTCCCTCCCATTTCTACGTAAAGACAATTGTAGGAAATAATAAACATTCCATCGTGGCATATAATGAAAAGTGGCTCAATGAGTTATATATTATAATGTCGCTGGTGAACTAATCCACCAAAAACTAATGGTTAAGACACAAAAGAGCTTAGAATTCCAATTCAATCATTACATTAATATCAAAGCAACGACATAAAATTCTGAACGTTCTCCTACCCCTTCCACTAGTAAAAAAAATCTCTATAGCCACTTGGCTATTCGTGACTATGCCTTATAATTCGTGGCTATAGAGTCGTAGATTAAAAAAATCGTGGCTGTTTTTGAAAAAATCACCTTATAGGCACGAATTTTCGCGACTGCCAAGTGGCTATATGTATTTTTTTTACTAGTGTTCCTCTTTGAAAATAACAATTCATGCTCTTATATTAGTTTGATGCTTAAATAAGACTCTTCGGTGCATAACCTTTTATCTGATCTTCAGTCAAGTTTCTGATGTACGTAAGTTAGGAATGTGGAACATGCATGCATGATTTATAGTCTAATTATCATCGATCAAAACAATTGTTGGAGGTCCACTTGTACATGCCATGTAAAGCTTCTCTCGAATGTTGAAAATACTTGCAGGTCGCAGGTTGAATCAAACACCAATTAGAGGAGCGGGGACTTTGATGGCAACAATTTAAAAGAGTAAATAGATTGTATATATTTTATTCGGATTAACAACCAATAATTTTCAGAGTTAATATAATTATTGGGAACAAATAAATAATTGTTTTTTTTCTTCTAAATCCATAGGGAAATCGCAAGAAAATTTGGTAGGAAATTTGTAGAAATGTTTAGTAAGAAATTTGAAAGAAAGATTTGGTAGGAAAATCATAAGAAAGGTTTTTCCTACGAAATATTGGTAGGAAAATGTTCAAAACAGTAATTTCCATTTCCTACAAAATTTCCTACAACTTTTCTTACCACCGTGTTTCATAGGGAATTTCGTAGCAATTCTAATTTCTTAAGGGCATTTCCCCATAAGTTTTTTCATAGGAAAAATTGGAATTTAAAAACAAAATAAAAATTAAAAGCTTTTACATTGATATTGTAATATAATTTAATCATATAGTTTTTACATTACATTAACAAATTCTGCGGATTAAAATATAGTTTTACATTACTATATTATTATATAAAGTTGGGTTTTCAAAGTTAGTCATTAATAAGGTCGTGACACATGTTAATTGGATCGATAATGTCAAATAATTAGTGGTAAGAATATATATAAATTAGTTTTCAAAAAAAAGAATATTTACAAAATAGAAAGAAGAAAATAAAAATTCAGGAAATTTAACAATTATGTAAAACTTGGTTTTCATAGTTATTAACTCACGTGATTATGATATATGTCAAGTAAAACATTAGATGGCGGAATGTGACACTTCTATTTTGTAAAAAATTAGATAAAAATAGAAAAATAGAAACAAAATTAAAATATTGAGAACTTTTTACTTATAATTAAATTATTAACCTAACTTTTAGTTATGTCAGTTTGGTTTTATCAAAGAGGGTTTAATACTGACAATTAAAAAAATATTATACGTCGATTTTAGTTTATAAAGAAGGGTTAAAGTTTACAACTAAACCAACTAAACATGTTATATGGTTGCTTGGATTTATAAATGAGGATTGTGATTTAGATTTTACAATTAAACAAGGGTTTTTGTTATGTCTATTTATGTTTATAAATAAGGAGTAGAGTTTCAATTACACAATTTATACAAGGTTACAATGTAGAGTTTCAAATACAAGGTTTCAATTTATAAAAGAGAATTAAGATTTAGCTGGTATAATTAAACGAGATTATGGTTTTAACAAAATAAGTGTGTTTATTAAAATAACAAATATTTTATAATTATTTAATTTTTAATTTATATTTAAATGTTGCTTAATTTTACTTTACATTTAAAGGTAATATGTCATAGTGCAATCTCATTTGTAGTAGATAACAAAAGTTTAAGGATAACAAAAGTCAATATAATTTGTAGTATAATGATAACAAAAGTTTAAGGATAAAAAAAAGTCAATCATATAATTTGTAGTATAATGATTTCTAAAATATTTTTTTTTTCAAATGTGTAATTTTGTATAGTTTCATATTTAAATTTTGTTCTTAATGCTTATCTCAACGACATTATAACTCATTTTTTTTGGATTGATGTTTATTTATAGGAACTTTACCATCAAATTTTGTAATAATTAATTAAATTTAAGAAATACAATAAATTGCAAAGTAAAATAAAATATGCGAGAATGGTTTTCTTACAAAAATTGGAAGTTAGAAAATAATTTTTTTTTTAGGATATAATTTCTAAATAAGTTTTTTTTTTAAATAATTGTTAATAATTATGAAAATAGTGAATAGCTCACAATTTTTTTGGTGATCTTTAACATTACTAGATTTTTATAATGAATGTTTAATAACAATTTTTAAATATGCATGAAACTTAAATAAAACAATTTACCAACTTAAAAAATTATATATTTTTTTTGAATACTTTGGATATAACATTCTTACAATATTTGAAAATAAATAAC